TATGTAATATTTACATTGCCTTATATCTTTGATGTTCCTTCTATGATCACAACTGAAACTCTGCATACTCAATTTAATCATCGTGATGATCGTATAAATTGTTTGATGCCAATGTTGATGACGGGAGTATCAAGGTTAGCAGTACTGATGTGGAAAAATGAACGTGTAAAACAACCGTTCTTGAACATGTTAAATTCAATAACTCGACGAAGTAAACATAGTCATCTTCCGGTTTTGAAGCGTCTCTTATGATTATATTGCTTTTAGAAAAAGCGATTAGTATCAAAGCATGTGGCCCATACCAGTTGGAAAAAGTGAATAAGAACATGTTCCAGTTCGATACAGTTGAAATGAAAAGATTTGAGGAGGGTCAAGCAGGTAAGATTGAATTCGAGGAGAAACGATGATTCAATTGATATCTTGTGTTTTAGCCGTTGAGTATGTTGATGCAACGATGACTTGGCTGAGTTGGATATCACAAATACGTGTATTGAATATAGACAATGAACTGTTGTTTCAACTCACCAATCATCATTTTCGTATAGATCAGTTATTGTCGATAGAAATTCTTATTATTCGTCAAATAGCTCATTCTGTCGGTAATGATTCGTTAAGTATTGTTAATCGTCTTGGTAAATCATCGTCGTTACACACCATAAATATAAAAAAGTATCAACTGAATGCTGAATTAACAATGAACGATCTGTTCTTGGTTGTATCTAAAATGCACCATGACCTGTCTGCATTGAAAATGTTGACAATCGACTTCGACAAAGATGCTACGTTTGGTGTTGAAATAATGGATAGCTTGACGGCTGTGCAGAAGGAAAACTGTCGTCTAGAATATTTTCATGCGACGAACTCTTATGTTGAATTATGGTTTAGTGCCTAAATCGAACTTAACTCGTTGTATGATTGTCAAGTTAAATAAAAAATCGGTTAACACAGTATCTCTATGACTAAAATGTGCAAGATAATGAATCTGCTCGTGTTATCGTAACAGAGAGTTAGGCAAAGTAATTGTTCTCTTTTTTTGTATTATTAACAAGGTTTGGTTTGTGCAAAATGCTTGAGAGAAGAACTGCAAGAGTGTCAGCGGCATGATCCTTGAAAATCTCTTTCCAGATTTTGGAAATAAAACAAAAAAAAACTATTTGCTTCATAAGACCCTATTCAGTCCGATTCGCATGAATTTAGAAACACAGAAACTGATTCGGAAAGAGTATTGACAACGGCCAAGTCTATTTTTTGATCGTTATTGAAATAGCCGGAAGCGACTGAAGACGGATTGATGCCAACGGACATGTTACCACGCAACTGAAATGCTCCTAAGCCATCACCATGATATATACTAATAATATTTTCGATATAACTTGTCACGCCTAGGTCTAACAACGTATCATTATTAAAATCTCGGGATATTATGTAAGTCGGGTTGTCAGGTGTTGGAAATGAGTTTCGAAGAGTAAAATTTCCATTTTTACTGCCCATCAATACGCTGAGCGTATTATTGCCTTGATTAGTAATGGCGATATCGATACTTCCATCTCGATTGAAATCGCCTGATGCGATCGAAGATGGATTGGTACCAACAGGATAGATTTCATTCGAACGGAACGTTCCATTTCCATTACCAAAAAGTACACTAAAAGTACCGTCATCTCGATTGGTGACAATGATATCAAGTATCGGGTCATCGTTGAAATTATCCAGGACCATAGAGGATGGCCTTTTACCGACAGGATACGAATTTTGAAGTTGAAAAACTCCGTTCTGATTACCAAACAAGATGCTGACTGTATCACTACCTTCATTAGCTACGATTAAATCTGGATTATCATCATTATTCAAATCTTTTGTTACAACGACGATAGGCTGTCGGCCGGTTTGATATTTTCTTTGAGGTTGGAATGTTCCATCTCCATTTCCTGTCAATAAACTTATCGTACTGTCTCCTTGATTGACGACGGCCAGATCAAGTCGCGAGTCGTTGTCGAAATAAAGCGATGTTAAAGCGAAGGGCAGTGAACCGGTTGTTGAAATGATCTGATTTCGAAAAGTTCCGTTATCATTTTTAAGTAATAAGCTAACAGTATTATCACCATTGTTCACCACTGCCAAATCACATTTGAAATCATTGTTGAAATCAGCTGCTTTAATTGAAGTTGGATGGATACCAACTGTATATGTGCGTTCCATTTGAAAGGTGCCATTTTTATCATTAATCAAAATACTGATGGTATTGTCATCATGATTGCTGATAGCGAGATCCGGATTCGAATCATTATCAAAATCACATGCAACGATAAAGCTGGGTGATCGGCCAACGTGATAGATTGCATTTTTGTCAAAACTTCCACTTCCATTACCGAACAGAATGTGAGCGGTGCTATCATGATGATTAGCTATCGCTAGGTCAATATAACCGTCCTTGTTGAAATCGTTTGATACAATGGAAGACGGTCCACGGCCAGTTTGAAATACTTTCTGAGATTCAAAAGTTCCATCTGAATTTCCGAGGAGAATACTGACAGTATCGCTGTTATAGTTGGTCACGGCTAAATCAAGACGTTGATCATTGTTAAAATAACCTGATGCGATTGAAGAAGGAGTTTGTCCAACTTTTAAGGTTATTACGGTTCTAAAATAGTCACGCTCATAATTAGGCAATACGCTTATAGTATTGTCACCTTGGTTGACAACAGCGAGATCCAGCCTTGTGTCACTATTGAAGTCACCTGCAATTGCTGCTACAGGCTGCTTGCCAGTGTCAAATGTCAGCTGATTATCAAATAGACCTTCTTTGTTCGCTAGTAATAATTTAATTTCATTGTCACCATTATTAACGACGATAAGATCTCGTATATTATCACCATTAAAATCATCTGATATGATAGACATTGGTTTCGTACCAGCAGGATAGGTTAGAACCGTCGGAAAGTTTCCACCACCAGTACCGAGCAGAACACTGACGGTATTATCGCCGTAGCTAGCTACTGCTAGATCGAGTAGGCTGTCATTGTTAAAATCGGCTGCTGCTACAGATCGTGGCTGATATCCAGCTGAAAATCTTGGTTGCATAAGGAGACTTCCATTACCATCGGAAAGCAGGATATCGAGAGTATTCGAGCTAAGACTAGCTACTACCACATCTGCCGTTGCGCCACGATCGATATAACCCGACGCTATAGACACTGGAGAGTTGCCCACGGTGTAAGTATTTGAGAGTAGAAAACTTCCATTGCCGAATCCGAGCAATAGACGAACACAATTCTCACCAAAGTTAACTACTACAAGATCTTGTTTTTGATCATTATTAAAATCTTGGGATGTTACCGACGCCGGTGCGGAACCGACGAGAAGTTTCGGAAGTTGTTGAAATGTACGATTTCCAGTACCGAGAAATACCGTGATACTATTGTCGTTATAATTCGTGACGACTAAGTCACGCTTTGAGTCATTGTTAAAGTCATTCGCTGTCACTGCAGTTGGCAGACCACTTATTGGATAAACTCTCTGGTCCGAAAATCCTCCTGTCTTATTGCCAAACAAGACACTGATACTAGAATCCTTATAATTACATACTGCTAAATCTACATATCCATCCTTGTCGAGATCATCCGAGATTATTGCATAGGGACCCGCGCCAACAGGATAGGTTATTTCTGTATTGAATTCTCCATCGCCCATGCCTGTCAAAATACTAACGGTATTATTGTTATAATTAACTACCGCAAGATCCGTGCGAGCGTCCTGATTGAAATCAGCAGATACGATGGATTGTGGATTAGTGCCAACTGAGTAAAGCCGTTGAGTTTCAAAACGTCCGAATGCATTGCCGAGCAAGATGCTGACGCTATTATCACCAGCATTTGTGACCGCTAAATCCATCATACTATCATTATTAAAATCGCTTATCGCTACGGATGATGGCCTGTAGCCAGTTGGATAAGCAAATTGAGATGGAAACGAACCGCTTCCATCGCCGAGCATGACACTGACTGTATTATCTCCATCATTGACGACGATGAGATCCAGTTTCCGATCTTGATTTACATCTTGTAAAGCAACACAGATGGGTCGTTGTCGAGTCGGAAGAACGAACAGACCTTGAAAAGCACCTTCGCCATTACCAAACATAACAGCCACTTCATTATCCTGCTGAGCAGCTACTGCAAGATCAAGGTGCTGATCATTATTGAAATCACCCAATACTGTTGACACTGGTGTGTTGCCAGTTTTATAGGACTTTGCATCCGATGCATACGCTTTGGAGCAGAGTTTCTCTAAAAAGATACATAACAGACTCTTTTTCCATCGTACACTCTAATTCTATATCTTTACTCTCTGAGGTTGACCCTCTGTTAGCAAGCTTGGATCCCAAAACAGCACCAGTAATGACGGCACCAAATAATAGAAGAACTAAGATGCCGAGCGGAGTCATTAATCTCTTTTTAGTGTACCATGACGGTTCAGGCTTCGGAAAGATTTCTGCACCTAAATATCGAGAGCAAAGGTTAAATAAGTGGAGTTAGCTTCAAACTACCTTCGAACGGTGGAGCAAGCAATGGTTCGTCCGGTACAATCTGTCTCAAATGAATTATATGAAGTTCAGGTGCTGGACAAAGTTGTGATTGAACTATCATTCGAGTTCCCGGTAAGAGAAGGACTTCATCTTCGTAGTCAAAATGTGAATGTGCACGTATTATTCGTCCATTGATAGCTTCAACGGAAAACAGCGTTCGTTCGCCAGCATCGCCTAAGTACATACTATTTTCGAGCACCGTCAATGAGTTTGTACATGACGAGAAATTCCACCAAGTCACTGGCGTACCAGGTGGAAACTCGGTGCTGATATCCTTTGCTACTCCCCTCCAAATGGTGCACTGTGGAACACATGGGATTTTGACCAAAGCTGTCAATAATAGTTTCATATATTTTAAATATGGTCGCAGATGTTCAGGAGAATCGCTTCTTAGTGCATGATTAAGCATTCCATAGAGACTTTTATGCGGCGGTTGCCATTCTAGAGTGTACAAGCGAATAGCAGCACTCTCGTTAATTGTCAGCCTATCAGCCGGTGCGTTTGGTGTTTCATCAAGTGCTCGTTTAGCATATGCGGGTAAATTGTAGATGAGATGATTTAACGGAGCACACGCGTCGACAAGTGGTAATAATGGTTCATTGGCATACTCGACGATTGGATTTGTTCTCTCTTTGAATTCAACAAGAATTTCTGATATCGATAAAGGAGAGTCATCATTTTGACTTTCTACCACTCGATAATTTTTTCTCACTAAGTCGACTGGTACTGCCACACTGTCTGTTCTGTTTGGGATCGGATGCAATTTGCTACATACATTTTTTGAGTCAAACGTTATTGGAACACCACCATCTTGATGTGTAATTCCAACTAATTCAATTGTATCGCTACCACGTTTTTTCTGCATTTTTTTCTTATCTTTACAGTAACTTGCTAAATCTGAAATCATAGAAAATATTGAGAAGAAGGATTTTGTATAATATAAAAAACTTGCAAGACGTCATAGTCACGAAAACGTATTTAAACGAACAGCGTTGAAAGAGAATCGATAAATATAACTATTGACGTATATGGATAATGCAACTTTCTTCCCTCGTAGCTTTTTTACTTGATGACGCTTCACTCATTATCGTCATTCTACCATAACGTGTGGGCTTCAGCAAACGACCAGATAAAGAACCAGTGAGAAGCAGCTTTATTTCATCCTTATAATCAATGCAAAGAAACAAAACACGTGCAGATAATAACTTATTTAGATTTATTGATAAACGGAGCATGTTGAATTTTTTTTACTGTTCGATCGAACTTTACTGAAGCTTAATCTTTTCATCTGCAAGAAATAATCTGTAGATAAATCAATCTACGTATAAGACAAATGAAAATAAAGATAAAGCACTTCATAAAAAAAACATCATGACGATATTTCCGTTGCTACTCGTTGCAATTGTCTTACAAGTCGATATACATGCGTTAGAATGTCCTCCAAAAAGATCATCAATTCAGCGTCTTTTAGATGAAGCTTTCATTCCCGGAGCTGCGTTGATAGTGGTCAATTCGACTAATATTATTTATGAACAAGGCATTGGTTATCATACACCTCCAATATTCACCAATCGGCGGCCTATCGATCCTTCAACGTCAATTTTTCTCTTAGCATCAATTTCCAAAACATTTGTCGGGGTCGCAGCGATGCAAATGGTTGAATCCAGCCGTTTGAAGCTTGACATAGACATTAATCAGTACCTTCCATCGGAAATGAGAGTTATTCATCCACATTATCCAAATAAAACAATCACCATGCGAAATTTACTTTCACATTCTTCTGGTATAAGACAAAATATCGAAGAGGAATACAAACTTTACGTTCCAGGCGATGATTTTGCAAAGAGAAATCTTGGTGATGTGATAAAGATGTATCTAAGCCATGAAACAAGTTGGCTGCCTGTGCCACCAGGTAATTTAACATATTACTCAAATATAGGCACGGGTTTAGCTGCACATATAATCGAGCGTTTAGCGGGTATATCTTTTGAAGAATATGTTCGAGAGAAAATCTTAGAACCATTGGATATTGATATAAACAATGCGGGTTATCGATTAAGCATATTTGAAAATAACCAAATCAACCTTGTTGAACATTATATCTATAATGCATCTTGGTTCGACTCGTTCCAACAAATGACACAAAGTTATAACTTCTCTCGAGTAAGTCTCGAAGGGAAATTACTGAACATCAGATAGAGAGTTGGATTTCCAGGTCGAGAATTCATCCGATTGGTTCCAGGCTCCACCGTTTAGTTTTACTATTTATCCAGCTGGTATGTTACGTATGTCGGCACGTTCACTTAGTCAATTTCTTCGATCATTTCTGAATAATTTTCGCACTATCCTGCATCAGCCTCATTCAATTCATGAAATGCTTTCGATTTCTCCTCAGATGAGCTACGTGAACATGTCCGATGTGGAATTCAGTCTCGGATGGTATTGGCAAACATTTCGTGGACGCCGTTTTATTGGACATGATGGCTCGTTGCCTGGCGTGCGAACGTCAATGATGGCTAACGAAAAACGAAATTTAGGAGTGATCATTTTAACAAATGGAGATATTATTCAAAATGATCACCATGCTGAGAAAGTCAAAGCTACAATCGTTGATTTGATGATGGATTTATACGACTGTTACGAGCCAAAGATAAGTATTGCTTTTCATCCACACGTGTATGTCATTTACATCTGGTGGATGCTCATCATCCTTTGCTTTCTCAAATAAATTCTGTCCATTTGGCGATCAGTGCGACTATTTGAAAATATAAAATACCGTTTCCCTTGCACCGATGCAAAGGATGCGAATGAATCATCTTGGAATTTTTTTCTCAAATGGTTCGCAAGTAACAGCATACATGTAAAATTCGAAGAGACTATTCGAGTATTAAACTTTCACTTCGAGTTTTCAACTTTTAACTAATTGGCTATTAAATATCCACTAAGTAAACGATAATTATTAAATGACTAACTCATTATCAATTATTAGCTAACTGATTACGACGGTGGGTGAGGGTGTGGGTGTTGGGTAGCAGTGTAAAACTTGAAAACTCGAAGCTTCGAGTTCTAGATTTATAGGTGTTAGAATTCGAAGGAAGTTTTAATACTCGAATCGAGTTAACGATTTCTACAATACTCATTCAAAAACGGTCTAAACTTTGAGGGTGTGGGGTGTGGGTGAGGGTGAGGGTGAGGGTGTGGGTGAGGGTGTGGGGTTAGGGTGTGGGTGTGGGGTAGCAGTGTAAAAACTAGAATACTCCATAACTCGAAGCTTCGAGTTCTAGATTGATAGGTGTTAGAATTCGAAGGAAATTTTAATACTCGAATCGAGTTAACGATTTCTACACTACTCAGTAATAGCACACATAATGTTGACACAAGCTGTGAATGAGTTCTCGACAGGTTACTTTTAACTGTGATAGAACGAGAAAAATGTTTTAACCAATTATTATCTCGAACTCTCAGCTTGTGTTCGTCTAATAAATACAATCAGACGAAAAACATTTTGCCATACACATCAACATAAAAACACTCTCATGCAAGAAGAAGCATTTACATCATAAGAAATTCGTCACAAGCACTAATTTATATCATTGGAAAACATTAGCAGTGTTCAATGGCTGAAATTCTTCTGACTGCGGGAGAGATTAGTGACATTCTTGAGAGTGACGACGAAATAAATTCTATTAAAAGTGAAATAGCGACGATCCTGCGACTGCACGATTATGACAATAAACAAGACATTGTTACTCACCTTCTTATCAACGGTCGACAAGGTCTACTCGATTACAAAGACGACATCATACCCACAATATTCAATACACAATTCAATACCCCCGACGCACAACTCATTCTAGCTCTCAAAACCTATGTGCGTCGACTGTGGCAAACTCAGTACGAGTCATCCTGCCACTGGCTCATCGCATTCATCCAAAACTACCACGACAACAAAGATCCTCAACTCTACGATCGCATTCTCACTCGAACAGCTGAATATGGCAATAGATTCCTGAAGGACTGTCCAATGTTATCAATCGTGCTGCAGTTTGTCTTGGAATCGATCGATGATGAATGTTTGCTGAACACGAACACGTTCGATGAAGTGTGGTGTACGATGACGAGCGAAGGATTGACATCACTGGCGAAATACTCGAAGTATATGAAGGAGGAAGTGATGAGTGAAGAGTTGGACAAGCGTGGATCGACATTGTTTCGTGCATTGCGTGAGTACTATCGTCCACGGTTAGATTCACTGTTAAGAGATCATGGAATGAATGGTGAAGAAGTAGATGAGAATGTGGCATTGGACTTTCTTAGTGAAGATGGTGTGGAGAAAGGAATGGAGAATATTCGACAGTCGATGGTAAAATCATCATCAGATGTTGTCGCAGAAAAAGGAGATGTTGTACTAGTAAACACAGATTCGCCACTAGACAAAATTGAAAGTAAGTGCGATTTAAAAAAAGAGTTGGAAGCTTTGTTTACCCTGCTAAATCATTTCTTTTCAGTTGACCAAATGATTAAAGTCAGTTTCATGCAAACCGGTGAAATTATTAATATTCCTATTTCCTTGGTGGACACTGTAGAAGATGTCATCAAATATATCTGTGAAAAAAGCGCATGCGGCGGTGTAAATGATTACAATGATTATCATCTTACTGTCGTCTTGGTTAATGGTGAAACAAATCTAGATAATGATAAGAAATTAACAGAGATCGGTGTTTTTACAGATGAAAATCTTGGATTTAAATTATATTCAAACACTCCAACCAAAGAACAGCTAATTACTATTGCAATGGTAGAAGCAAGTGGAAGTGCTAATGATACTTCCGATATTCCAACACGTCTTCAAAGTAAATTTCAATTTCTGTGATTGCACAATGAGTGAGGTCATAATCCCGTTACACCCGGTATTCACCCAAAAGCAAACAATTCACTGCGTCATCATACGCAGCTGAATCAGTGTATCCAACACGATACCCAAATAGATCTGTATCCTGGAAAGCTGAGGAATCTGAGTGGATTTGGTGTACCAGCCACCACTCTCACACCCACATCTTCACCCACACACTCACCCTCACCCACACCCACACCCTCACCCTCACCCACACCATCACCCTCACCCTCACACCCTCACCCTGGATAGAACGGGCTGGTATCGATACCGGTGGTCGTTCGTTGATGAGTAGCAGGGTATCGTGACGTTTGGCTGTCGATACCCGGTGTAATGCTAATATGACATCTATGTGCGTAATTACGCGAAAACTACTTTCTAGCCCTTGATTTAGACGAACTGACACCCAACGATAATAAAGCAAAAGCTTTCAATACATCAGAAGTCAGCTCAACATCTAAAAGCTTGAAAACATTCAGCTCTGTTCCATTAGAAAAAGAGCAATTAGCTAACATATATCATCAAATACAAAACAGATTTCGCGAAGTTACCGCACAGATGACTCGTGATCCAATGTTACGTCACAATATCACAGAAACGTTGAACGAAATAAATCTTCTCGTCTGCGGCGCACCCCGAGTCGGAAAAAGTGCTCTCATCAATGCCATATGCCAACAAGAAGGAGCTAAAACACATCCTGGATTGCACTCCTGCACAAACATGATTTCGCCTTATTTTTTGAAAGGCAGTTGCGAAATCGGCGGCGATAAAGTTAATTACCAGTATAACATTTGGGACACGCGCGGATTCGAAAAATGGGATGAGAAGACTCTCGTCGCTAATTTAGATCACATTCAAGAAAAACCGAAATCTGACACACTATGTATGATCTACTGTGCATCACCCGGTTCCTTTGCCAATCTTCAACAACTCAAATGTTTATTAGATGAATGCAACAAACGGCACATTTTCTGCGCACTTGTATGTACAAATAAATGGAATGGACGGAAAACACAACGGGATGCCGTCATGGAAGATTTCACACGGATCCTGACGGGCTTTCACGAGAAAACTCGAGAAGAGGATGGCGTGATTTATTTCGGAAATGTAGGTTTGTGTACAAGTGTCAACAGCGTGGCTTTTATCCATGAAGATACGGGTAAAGAATATGAACAATCGGGTATTAATGAACTTATACTTGGAATAATGGAATCAATTGACAAAGACAAAGCCGCTAAATGGTGCGCGATTGTATTACAAAATAAACCATTTTGGACAAAAATCATGGATTGTTCCAAGCGATTGAAAAGATTCCTTACATTCCCATTCGGGTGACAAAAAACGAATAAAGACGATTGCAAAATGTTTGATGTAGATTTTACCTTTGTGAGAAAGGTAAAAATCATCAATACATGAAACAATAGCGAACTCTTTGTTTTCTTTCATTGTTTTTATTACTTTTTTGACTAAATTCTTCTTTCAGCTTCTATAATCATTCAAAGACGACCTCATGAGTTTTTCACTATTTCAGAAGACGAAAATTGATCTCACGAGTAAAAATCATTTTCGAATGGCAACACTCTCCTCTCAAGTTATTTCTGATAACAATAATGTTGAGAATGAAATAGCGACTATTCTACGACTGCACGATTATGACAATAAACAAGACATTGTTACTCACCTTCTCATCAACGGTCGACAAGGTCTACTCGATTACAAAGACGACATCATACCCAAAATATTCAATACACAATTCAATACTCCCGACGCACAACTCATTCTAGCTCTCAAAACCTATGTGCGTCGACTGTGGCAAACTCAGTACGAGTCATCCTGCCACTGGCTCATCGCATTCATCCAAAACTACCACGACAACAAAGATCCTCAACTCTACGATCGCATTCTTACTCGAACAGCTGAATATGGCAAGAGATTCATGAAGGACTGTCCGATATTATCGATCGTGTTGCAGTTCGTGTTGGAATCGATGGACGAGGAATGCATACTGAGCACGAACACGTTCGATGAAGCGTGGGAAACAGTGACGAGCGAAGGAATGAAGTCACTGGCAAAGTATTCGAAGTATGTGAAAGAGGAAGTGATGAGTGAAGAGTTGGACAAGAATCAGTCGACATTGTTTCGTGCATTGCGTGAGTACTATCGTCCACGGTTAGGTTCAATGTTGAGAGATCATGGGATGAATGGTGAAGAAGTAGATGAGAATATGGCATTGGACTTTCTTAGCGAAGATGGTGTAGAGAAAGGAATGGAGAATATTCGACAGTCGATGGTAAAATCATCATCAGATGTTGTCGCAGAAAAAGAAGATGTTGTACTAGTAAACACAGATTCACCAGCAGAAAAATTATGGAAACTTGAGGGTGAGTGTGATGACATTGATAGTCCATAGAAAGCCAGTATTTTTATAGTTCGAAGAATAACGGTAGCGACGACAATCAAAGTTTACGTTAAGAAAACGGGTGAACTTTTTGATGTTCCCATGTCTGTAGTATCCACAGTGGAAGATGTGATCAAATATGTCTGCGAAAACAGTGTCTGCCATGACACGATGGATTACAATGATTACTACCTTGTTTCACCGGAAGACGATACAGTGCTGGAGAATGAGCAAAAAGTCGATGAAATACTTGTTCATTCGAGAGACACTCTTGAATTCAAATTATGTATGAAAGCATCAAAAAGACAACAAATAATGAATCTTGCATTAATGAAATGCAATGAACGCGTTAAGGCCAACACAGTTGCCGATTCGAAGGACAAAGAAGTAAGACTTATCCATATTATTATAGGGTTTTGACATAATGTGTTTATACAGATTACCGAGCCAGTTGAACCACAACAAAACAGATTGAATATGGATGCTGATAAGACAGAAGAAGCTGTTGCAACCAATGTATCAGCGAAATCAGACATGTTTCGGTCAAATTCGCCTCCTGAAAATACAACAGACACACCGTCGAATATCTCCAGATCTGTATCTTTCACAGGTTCAAGTGCCAGCCTGTCGCAAAAACAAGATTTAGCTTATAGTTACTATGAATTACAAAAAAGAATCCACGATATTACTGAAAGATTGATTCACGATCCAACTTTACGTGAGAAAGCCTCAGAAAAGTTAAACGACATCAATATTGTTGTCTGTGGTGCACCCCGCGTTGGAAAGAGTGCTCTCATCAATGCCATATGTCACCAGGAACTAGCTGGAACCCATCCCGGTCTCCATGCTTGTACAAAGACCATGTCATCCTACCATTTAGCTGGCAGTATAGATATTGGTGACGAACAAGCTAACTATCAATATACCTTTTGGGATACACCCGGA